AATAATAATAATAATAATAATAATAATAATAATAATAATAATAATAAATACTTTACACTGAAGTTGGCAGTGTCTTGGCAGACAGAAAAGGATGCCTTCCCTTTTTCAGGAGGGAATGTATATTGCGGCTGTGAGACAATTGGAACAGCTTCCAAGAGGAAAGACGGAACCTTTTATGTTTTGACTGTCTGCTTTTTGTTAATCCTACAATTGATTAATTTTGCTAATGTAGTGGTTTAGATGCAGGCCTAGAATTCCAGGGGGAATTTGGGGGCTACACACAGTCCATTGTGTATGTTTTTATCTTGGAAAACTAACCCCCTCCCTTCTTTTTCATTTTTATTGTTTTCCATTTTTAAACCAAATGCATCAAATGAATACAGGTAGTCCTTGACTTACTACCGTTCATTTAGTGACCATTCATAGTTACAACGGCACTGATAAAAGTGACTTATGGCCGTTTTTCACACTTAAGACCTTTGGAGTATCCCCACGATCATGTGATCAAAATTCAGGTGCTTGGCAGCTGACTCATACTTATCATACCATCATAGAGGAAGCCAGATTCACTTAATAGCTGTGTGCTAACTTATCAACTAGGGTGATTCACTTAACAACTGTGGCAAGAAAGGTCCTAAAAAGAGGCAAAACTCACTTAACAAATGTCTCACTTAACAACATATATTTTGGGCTCAACTGATTACCTGTAATCATATATTAAATGAAATGAAAACTGAATAGACAGCAAATCTCTTCAAAGACTGGGAAGCTAAATGAATGGAAGATGGAAACATGGGTCTGTCTACCCTGTAAAAGCTCTTGTAATTAATGTGCTTATGAACGCCCCAGATCACTCACAGAGCTGGTCCTCAGATTCCTGTTGTGCTAAGTTATTTATCTGACATTTCCAGATAAGTCATTTAAGGATACAGAAACACACCGCATTGTGAGCAGAGGACAGCTGGCAGTCTATGAGCAAACCTAATGCGCATTTTTAATGTTTATGTTAAGGTTTACCACTTAACCACTACTGAAAACAATGTGGACCAGTTTCATCTAACGATTAGTGTTTAATTGCAACCAGGATTCCAGTACTACCTGACTTCATACTTCAATGAATGATTCCGGCCTAGATATTATTTTTCAACCTAACCTTCTTCACAGGGTTGTTGTGAACACAGAATACAGAATAGCATCATCTGCATCGCCTTAAGTTTCCTGAATAGCCATTTTCCCACAGAAATTAATTTTTCTGCAGTATCCTTTGGCCAAGACTTGAAAATAGAAAAGCACAGGTCATACAAGACAAATATCATCTCTCTTCCTTCAATTCAACACTCTCCCAATACAAATTCTGGTTTTAAATGAATGATTAGCTTTTAACCTTAGTAAATAGAACACTTTATAGACAGAAAAATTATGCAAGTCTCAAAATATTTAGGCCTGGAAGAAGCCTGACCTCTAGTGGACAAAGGTAACAGTAATTCAGCTCAGTTCTCTATATTGCATATAGTACAGTATATTTAAAATATATTTTAGATTTAAAGGGCAATCTGTTTTGCTAGCTATAAATAATATATTTTCTTATCTGACAGAGAAAAAAAATACTCTTGAAGAGACTCTTAGTACAATAGCCACTAAAAATAAAGAGAAAGTAATCAGCTAAACTTGGGCTCAAGATAATAAATTCTCATTGATATTTTGATATTTTTGCCCAAAACTTTTATACTTTCAAATTCCCATCTGCCAACACAGTCAACACACCGGGAAGAGAGAAAGGGTGAGTGCTAAAATTCCAATATAAGGTAATTTTTTTCATTCCTCAGGAAGGTTCAGAATATAGATGACTAGAACTAGAAATGCAGTAAACAACAAACTATGTTGAGCAAGATTGGTTCACCCATAGGATGCTTTTAATCTTTAGCCTCTTTTTTTGTTGCCTCCAGAAACTGTACAACTGAGTGATAATATGAGTCCTCGACTTACAACCAAATTGAGTCCATAAGTACAGTTATGAATTGTTGAGGTTGTTAAAAGGACACCATGGGTCACCAATGTGACCAGCCCCAATTTTGCAACATTTTTTGCAGTGATTGCTAGCTGGCTCAATTTTCCCCAATGGGCATTTTTGTTGGAAAATGGAAGTAAATGCTAGAAGCCAGCAAAACACTTTGAAAATCAGGGTCACGAGACTGCAGGACACTGCAAATGGCCATAAAGAGAAGCCGCCAAGAGCCCAAAATGCAATCAAGTGAACATGGGTATGGTACTACAGCTATCATAATTTCAAAATTGAGTTGGAAGTATCTTTGGGAGTAGGTGGGGTCCATTGTAACTTCAGTTATTAAGTAACATGGTTTAAGTCGAGGCCTATCTATATCATAGTTTTCTGTATTTTACGTTGTTAGCGTTATATTTCTAAACTTTCCTTAATTTTAACTGTTCCAAACCCCCTCAAAGCCCCACCTCCAGGAAATAAAAAATCTTGGCCTTCCCCCTCTAGTCACATCATCTCATTGCTGCTAGGTCTCTTGCAGTTCTTGATTCCCTAAAAATTGTTTTAAAAAAGAAATATTCCTGCCTACTGCCTACTGTCATCAGCTTAATACCCCTAGCTGGTTTTCTACCAAGCCATCCATTGGCTTTTACAGCAGAACAATAAAAAAACTGAGATCAGTGGTACGTCTAGGAAAGTATCATCACTGATACTATGAAATACCTTAATCATGATAACATTAAATATATAAATGTAAATTTAAAACTACAGTAAATGTATAAATAAGAGCTATAATATATATATTGGTTTTCGTGGGTATTTGTACGTGGATCTTTGGTTATTCGGGTTTTGTCCTGCGTAAAATCAGAAGTATTTTGGCAAAAACACATACAAACCGGTTATCTACATGCACTCTCACACCACCACCCAGCACAGATCAATTCCGTAGCCGAGACACTCATCTCCAGAACAAAATGCGGGAGGAAACCCGAATAACCAAAGATAGATAGACAGACAGACAGACAGACAGACAGACAGATAGATATAGTGTGTGTGTGTTTTCTCTTAAGTTTTCACAGGTACTTACATGTATGGCATTCAGCTTTGTTCAGGTATTTTCCCACGTCCTTGTAGTTGTGCTTTTAAAGTTGTAGCAACGTTTTGGCAGAATCTCATCTGCCACTATCAGGCTTCTGTATAGTGTTCATCTGGATGAACACTATACAGAAGCCTGATGATGGCAGATGAGATTCTGCCGAAACGTTGCTACAACTTTAAAAGCACAACTACAATGACGTGGGAAAATACCCGAACAAAGCTGAATGCCAAACATGTAAGTACCCGTGAAAACTTAAGAAAACAAATATATATATATATAAAACCTTTAATTTCTACACAGCCAATTTTTAATTATTTATACAACATTTTATTACTAGTCTAATTCAGAGGTGCAAGGCATTTTGTGGTAACGTTTAAATCAGGGGTCTTCAAACTTGACAGCTTTAAGACTTGTGGACTTCAACTCCCAGAATTCCTCCTCCAGTCATGTTAGCTCAGGAATTCTGGGAGTTGAAGTCCACAAGTCTTAAACTTGCCAAGTTTGAAGATCCTTATTTTAAATCAATAGATCAAAAAACCAAGCCCAACGAAGCAGTCCAACAAAATTTTCAACAAACTGATCCATAAAAGATACATAATTCCTGAACTTGAAAATAAGGATGCCATTTTTAGAAAAAAAATACCTTTTAAAAAACAGGAACACTTGGGCTTTTAAAGCACCAAAAATCAGGTAATCTAGCTTCAAATCCTTTCTCCACCAAATAGTGTACTTGGTCTTTGGCAAATCTGTAAAACAAAAGATATATCAGGAATTAAATATATAGATAATGAAAGAAAAAGAAAGTCTGTACAGGGAACCATATCTCTTCCTGCAGCAATAAAAGTGCTATAAAGACTTTTCTTTTTAAATATTTCTGGTTATTAATAATGTGATAATTTAATTAAAAATATGTGCTTTCTTTAAAGTTTTATGAGCCAAAAATGGAATATAATGTTCAGGAAGCAAGTGGACCACTGGCTGAACTCATACACCCTGCTGTGCATAAGGCAATTTTCAGCCATATAAATCAGAATGTTCTCAATAGCATCAATCACATATGTGTTGACACAGAAAAATGCAATGTTTAACAGTAAACTGAACGTACAACATGGCTGTAAATCCTATATTGGCTTTTTTTCACTTTCTCTTCTAGAAAAACAACTCTTATATTAAAATAGCTTGAAAGACAAAGCACTATTCAAACCTTTGGTATGAAATTATTCTGCTCAAATTTTCTACTCTCTCTCTTTACACACACATAAATAGATGTAAATTTCATATGGTGGAGTCAGGTGGAGGAGGAGGAGCATTCCTCAAAATTAAGCTCAGCCTACCAATGCAGAGACTGAAGCACCACCCACTTCTGGATGCTCCAAGCAGCTCTAAGGAGAATGCGGGGTTACTGCCAGTTCCGTCAATATTCAATTTCAATCCTGGCTTGCTTTCTGTCTTCCTTACAATAAAAGATCAGTTTCAAACATATTTGATAATATTGAGATGATTGCTTTGACTTTTACTACAAAATTCTACCATGAACATGAAATTAAATCTAAATAACTTGCCAGGAGGCTTATACTCTTGGGGAATGGAAAACTTACCAATGAATGCTGTGCCTGGTGTGTTCAGTGAGCTCTATAGAAAATACCTTTCAGGAGGAGGCACAGAGGAGCACATGAAGAGTCCATGCAATAAACAGTTCTGTGGTGTCACTTTGGCACATGAGGTGAAATTCCATGTACATATTTGTGTTGGAGATATATTGATTATTTAAACCAGGGCTGTCCAACCTTGGCAACTTTAAGGTTTAGCTCTTTAAGACTTAGGTCCGCAAATCTTAAAATTGCCAATTAAATTTATTTAAACAAAGGAAAAACTTAAGTTGTATTAAAATATTTGCAACCTTTTCACACGCAAGAGAGAGAATTTCCTCCTGACTGCAAGATCAAATGGTCCTTAATGGTACGGATTATTTCTCATCCCTAAACTATACTATCTTACTGATATCACAAGCTTCCCTCCCAGCACCATATTCACACAACCTACTAACTACTGGGAAGAAATTAAAAAGGATCACCATAAGCTTGAATGTGGCCCCATTGACTGGTAAAGAGAACTTGAGCTAGATACCTGCTTCAGATTTAAAATATCCTATATTGTATGAGTGTTTGACCACAGCCTGATTCAGGCATTATAGAAGAACAAGCAGAACCTGGGGGCAGACTCAAGAGAGGAATCAGCCTTGAATCATTACATTCCCACAAGCAATCCAAATTCAGCCCCTCTTGAATTCCATTAATTTATGTAGTGCCAATTTAGTGCTGTTAATTGACCATTAGATTTTTGTTTATAGGCTGAGCAATAAATTAGTTTAACTGGATCTTAATGTGATTCTTTGTGCATGAAAGGTATTTGGCCCAACACTGTAACTCTATCAATAAATAATCAAACCACTAAATGAACATGTTTTGGGATTAGTTTAGGAAAAACAGCACAGATGTCTATTAGTTTTATATCCTATCTTTCATTCAGGGATAGGAGTCTTAACATATATGAATGAGATGTACAAAACCAATGTATAATTTACACCTGTCATTTTTAATCTCTAGATTGTAATTAAATTGGCTTTCTTTCCATTTATATGACTCTCTTTTTAGTACTATTGCAATAACTATAAGATACCTTGAATTTCATGTGGAGAATTTTAGTGTTAGTTTGAGACACTAAAATGATGAAGAGCAAAAGCTGTTGCTAAGTAACAGAATACATTTCGTAAGCCAGAAAACTCTTTATCAGGAATCTTGGGTTGAAACAAACTTGCCTAAGATTCTAAAAAGCTGAAGCAGTCTGATCAGAAACCATCTGTGGCTCTCAGCCCCTATTTTCTCTGCCCCTTCCAAAGAAACCTGCCATTGTGCTACTTAGACTCGCTGGGAAATTACCAAAAGGTGTTGTCTTTTTTTCTTTTTGCTTATTTCTGGTGGCGGTAAATGAAACAAAGAAAAGGCTATGTTAAACCTCAGAAAAATCATATCACATTTATGTTTTTAAAAATGCCAGTACTTCCTTCAGCGCTGGAAAAATGGGCTAAAATCCAATCTTCTCAGGTGATGACATTAATCACTATCACTCACTGTAGTCATTGGCCACTGATTCTTTCTTTAAACGTAGCAATCAAGAGATTTAATTCTCACATCTGGACTAAATGGAGCAGTGTAAGTCAGAGTTGTTGTACATCTTTGTTTTCCGGGAAAAGATTTATGATTCTGTGATAACGGCCTTTCCTAAGAACTTGAATTAGCCGTTTGTTCAAAATGATGATGGTGCTGAATGAGGGCTATTTATGCGGACATCACAGCACTTCTTCCTCACATGATCATGGTTGAGGCACTTGGCAACCAGCCTGCGCTTACAACAGTTGCAGTATCCTGCTGTCATGTTATCACTGTTTACAACCTCCCCCTGCTGACTTCCCACAAGCAAAGTCAAAGGGGAAGCTGACAGGGAAAATTTAAATTGCTCCTGCTCCTGTAAAAGTATGAGGTCCCAGAGATATTGGATCCTGTAGTGTGCACAGCAGCACCTCCCTGCCTGGACTCCATAGTGCATGTCCGCTTGGCCATGCCTAGCCACTGCATCGTCTACCTAGCCATGCTCACACCAAGCCGCTGCACCTACCTGCTCTCCACTTGTCTGGACTCCAGTCTCTCAACACTTAATGCACTGTTGCACAGCGTCACAGCACTCCCCTACACAAGCATGTTCACTCTGTGCCACAGCAATCTCTCTGCCCAACTATGCTTGTACCAGGACACAGTACCCATCCTACCTGCAGGCCTGTTTCTGAACTGCCTACCAAAGGTTTCCTGCTAGCTTTCCCACTGACTTTGCTTGTTGGAAGTCAGCAGGAAGTCTCAAGTTGTAATCACATGAGGTCCTCATTTAACAATAGCAACAGCAACTGTCAGGATTTATGTTGCTAAATGATGCACTTACATGATGTCACGTTATAACCGCACTGCTTATTGATGGAAATTCTAATCCCAATTAGACTCATTTAATGAGGACTACTGGTAGTTTAAAACCAATCATGAATACAGAAACCTAAAGATACCATATTAGCACTGGAAGGTTCCTGGAGTAAGGATTCTGAAATTTAAATATCTAATAACTAAAATTCTTGTTATCCTGCCGGTAGATGTATAGATATAATTACTTCTCTGCAATTATTTCTTAAAAATTCTTTAAAATGTGAACAAGAACAAAGTTGCTATATCAAGGATATAGCAATATATTCATATAACTTAAATGCTAAATGTCTGCTGCTGTTTGATCCTGTATTTGAAACTTCTGTTGAGCAGGGACCATCCACACATTTGGGACAGAGTGTTCTTTAAAATAAAGGCTACCACCATCATCTGGCCTATGACCCATAAACCTCAGAGAGGACTTCCAGAGACTGTTCTAAACAGCTAGACTGATAGAGCTGATTTGATTTTGGCAAGTACCTAAATATATCCTGGTGCTGCACTGTAAAAGGCTTAAAAAAGGTGATAGTACTTAATTGGTAAATCAATAATTGGTACTATGCTTCAATTTGACCCAGAAACCTGTTGGCAACCAGGGCAGATTTTTTTCAAGAATAAAGCAGCACATACCACAGAAAGGAGGGCTTAATGACATAGCAGAAATCTTTATAAGAAGATTGGAGGATTTTCCCTATAGGGTTATGTTCTAGAATTGGAAGTTGATTGCAGTTTGGGCAGGCAAAAGGAGTCACGCAAAAGGAGTCAGACACTTTTTACTTAGCATATATTTTATTCATCCTAGATATATATAATATCTGATTGTAGAACATTTGACCAGTGTATTTCTAAGGTTCTAAGAATGATTGGAAAAACATAATAAAAGGTGAAAGTCATATTTGCTCCTGCATCAGTGGTGCACTTGTTTTTTTATGGAGCTTAATTGTCTAATTATTTTAAAATATATTTATTGCACCTTTGAATTTTAAGATCTGCAAGGTAACTAACAATAAGATAACAAACTGATAGGAGCAAAAAAAAGCTGAGTAATGGGTCCATCTTTGCATATAAACTGAAAATCAACAGAACTTTCAAGGATTTGTGATAATTGAAAGAGGTATATGGTAAGTAAAACGGGATTCCACTTGGAGAACTTTTAAAGTCTCATTTTTGAACAAATCTTTGTCTTTTTAGCATTAGCTTTTTTATGAGATGAATCACACTGCTGGCTTACATTTAGCTTGTGATCAAATAAAACCCTTGAGTCTCCTTTTCCACCTTAAAATCAGTTTTTCATACTTAACTTTGTTGAAATTCAGCATTTAATTCAATGTTATGGTTTAACAAAATTGTCTGAATATTGATTTAACTTTGTGGCATTATCTATATTTTCAGTTTCACTTCATCTCAAAATATTATTAAACATCTCATAGCAAGCTTTAAAAAGAAACAAAGCCTAAGACTGAAGATTTCTCCGCAGATGATTTTAGAAATTTTACTGAGTATATATTGACTTGATTTTATGTAGCATTAAATTATAGTTTAAATAATTGGGTTCATACAGTACACAAAACCTCCAACAAACAAGCTGCATTTTGATTTGGCCAGATGTATTAATTCATCCTGTGGATTCAGTTATTTAAATCAGCTTTGTCTCTGGCTCAAGAATTCTGGGATTTGAAGAGGTTGTAAAGTTGTCCATCGCTCCATTATACTGTACATGG